AAAAAACTCCCCAAAACAAAATTGATGTCTTCATTTGGACTTCATCAATATTCCCACTTGATGTAGGAGTATCTTCTTTATATGTGTTGCTTTCATTGGTTAATTAATAAAGAAACTGCTTGGCCTGATAGGTCAGAACATAGGTGGGTGGAGTAGACAGAACAGAATGCTGGGAAGAAGGAAAGTGAGTCAGACGCCATGATTCTTCGACCTAAGATGGATGTAGGCTAGAATCTTTCCCGGTAAGCTACCACCTCGTGGTGCTACACAGATTGTTAGAAATGGGTTAATCAAGATGTGAGAATAAGAGGCTAGAGCTAAATGGGCCAGGCAGTGTATAAATGAATACAGTTTCCGTGTAATTGTTTTGGGTAAAGCTAGACGGCGGCCGGGACCTGGGCGGCGGGAAGCGGCCTGTAGCTCCTTCTACATGCACTTAGAAAATGTTAAGAAGAAACATATTATTAACATAGGTGTCAATAAAAAAAAAAGCCTGTATTCTTCCTTGGTGGCTGTGAAACATAAAAACAACTGTATTATGTATCTATCTAATTCTGTGATTGTCTGTAGTGAGATAGTAGATATTAAATTCTCTATTGTGGCCAAACTAAAAGTACACCACGAGTAAAACTTCAAAGGAAAATGATTCAATACAATTGTTTTTTCACCTCTCTGGCTATATTTGCCGATACAGAAAGGATAGAACTAGATTTTATCCAGCATTATGATTAAGTAGTAATAAAAGAAGGACAAAGGATAAGATAAACCCAAGGGAGTACTCATACTGCTTGACTGTAAAATTTAAGAGGGGTTTCATGAAGAGGATGAGGATCTGGCAAAGTTGGTACCAAAACATTAAAGATCTTGTTAAAGCTAGAGTAGACAAAGATTGAAAGATGCAGAGTAGGAGTCAGATAAGGGGCACACAAAATTGTGGTGAGGAGAGGAAGCAGTTTTAGGTATTGTTAAGGTTTAAAGTGAGAAATAAGAACACAGATGGAAAGTACTCAAGCCATGAGAGAACGTAGTATAAGAAGAACAAATATATATATATATATATATATATATATATATATATGTATTAAAAGGAATATTGTATCCTTGCTATATACAAGCTTTTCAGATTCATGAGATCCCATTTATTATTTGTTCTTAGTGGTTATGCTATGGCTGCCCTATTTAGAAGTCTTTTCCTGCGCCAATGAGTTCAAACCTTCCCCCTACTTTCTATTCCATCAGAGTGAAGATATCTGATATTCTGTTGAGATCCTTAATCCATCTGGAGTTTTATACAAGGTGATATGTATGGATTTATTTGGATTCTTCTACATGGAGTCATTCAGTTTGACCAGTGTCATTTGTTGGAGATGCTGCCTTTTCTCCAGTATGTACTTTGGCTTCTTTGTCAGAAATCAGGTGTCTGTAGGTATATGGAATTGCGGTCTTCAAAACAAAAACTAAGTAGTCACCGAATATTAGGGAGAGAGTATCCCAACTAAACAATTTATACTACCAAGTAAAACCACTAGTGCCAGGAATATTGATGTTGGCCAAAGGGGTCCCATAGAAACACTACTGCCAAACATCACAGGCTACTACTGCCAAGGCTATTGGTTGTCTTCTACAACCTGATGGTAAGGGCCTATTGCTAAAGAAAACACTTATGACATTGAATACAGAGAATCTGGTGCCTAACTAGAAGCTTTACCCCTACTTTCAAAGTGCTGGATGGTACTCTGCATGTGCCAGAAGAGAAAGGTCATCAATGTCACCAAACTATCTACAATTGCAACCTGCCTGAAAGACACACTGGTGCAACAGTATCACAAATGTTCTGGGGATAAACACTTTTTGTGCAGATTTAAGGCACACTCTATGAGATGGAACCCATACCTGACACTATTAAAATGGCCAAGAAACTAAGACTAGAAAAGCCATAGGCCTAGGGGGAAAACTTCTATTATTATTTGGCTAAAGGAACATAGTCATCTAATGACATAGTACTATACCCATAGATCAGCATCTCACTTAGGCCATATAAGAGATATTTCTTCTTGCATTGGAATTAACAGAGTCCCACAACTGGATAATTTGCAGAGATTGAGATATTTTAGAAAATTCAGTCCTAAATGGGATGCCTTCATTAAAGCCTTCCCCTTAAGGTTCAGGAATTGATGTGGAAAAGGAAGAAGAAAGACTGTATAAACCAGGGAGCTGGGGGAGAATGGAAGAACTGTGGATGAAATATAAAATAAAATTTAAAACGGAAAATAAAAAAAAGAAGAAAATACTCAACAGAAAAAAAAATTGTAAAAGCTAGAGGAGATAGTTGACTCCAAGGAAACAGGGTCTTCCAGACACAATAGGACTGATGCACATACGCACTCAGAGACTGAGGTAACATGCAAGATTTTCACAGGTTCAAGACAGATGGGGTCCCTGAAAGGAAAAAGTAGAGAGGGCATTCCACCTCTAATCAATAAGGTATTTTCAACTGAAGACCTGAAAACAAAGAGAAACACCAGTTTTCTCTATGGAGTGTCACTTTGTGTATCAACCACACTCCAGGGCAGATACTACTGTAGTGATATTTTGTTTGTAGCCTAACAAATAAAGCTTGCCTGAAGATCAGGGTGGCAGAGCAATGCCACTGAATAGTCACAGAGGCTAGGCAGTGGTGGCAAACACCTTTAATCCCAGGCAGATGGATCTCTGTGAGTTCAAGGCCACCCTGAGCTACAGGAGATTGACTCTGTCTAAAAAAGAAACAGCTCACACAAACGTGACACCAGCACTTGGGATCACATGCCTTTAATCCCAGCACTAGGGACGTAGAAAGAAGAGTGTTATGGATGGTTGGAGAGAGGTGTGTGTGTAGCAAAATTCTAATTTTTCTTACTAAGAACCCAGAGTCAGATATTAGGGGGTAAAAGGTGAGAGATCAGAGACGCAGAACAGCCAGTTACTAAAGAGACTACCTTTTACCTCTACTGAACTCTCAGACCAAGAGGGCGGTCCTCTCTCATACTGCATGCTCTGACTGACTGACTTATCAAGACTGTATCTCCAGACTGCTCTTAGCTCTTATCTCCTCCTGCCTTATATTCCTCTTTCTATCCAGCCATATGTACTAATATTTCATTTGTATTTTAATAAATAAAGATTGTCTGAAGATCAGAGAGTAAAAGAGCTTCACTGGTCAGATTTACAGATCAGGCAGTGGTGACACACACCTTTAATCCCAGGAGCCATACTAGTTTGCCACAGAAACTGAGTGGTAATTACAGCCACAGAGAGGAACAGAAATGTGAGAAGACAGCTCTCAGACACAGACTCATTCTGAGATTCCTGGAGGCAGGATCACCATTTCAGGTAGAAATCGTAGGAGCCAATGGCTGGCTGTTTTGTTTTTCTGACCTTCTTGCAGAACCCCGTAAGACTTTAAGACAATCCTGAAACCATTTTTGACAATTCTGAATCCTCTCAGCCTCTGTGCCATAGTGCTTCCCCTCCTCCCCTGGGAACCAAGGACCTAACAGCTACACTCGCACGTACTTAGTTCCTGAACAATTACCCATATACGTATGTTTTGATTCAGTCCCCTGGGAAACGGGGTCAAAATGACCTCTTACCTCATCTGATCTGGCAACAGCTCTCCAGTCAATTATTGGTAATAGCCCTTTCAAATAAGCCAATCAGAAAAGTCAAAGAACAACCCCCCTTGCTTCTGTGGCCCCTTTAAAAGTAGGCTGTACCAGCAATTAGAGGTCCCTCGGCTTCCCGAATGCTGGGGGACCCTGTCATGACAAAATTAATAAAATCCTCATGCTTTTGCATCAGCTGTGGTGTGTGAGATGATCTCTGGGGGCAACTCCTTCTCAGTCTAGAGTCCAACACCCCAATATCTGTCTCTGGGTTTTTATTAATTATGTCATACCTTCCTGTCTCCACCTCCCTAGTACTGGGATTAAAGGCATGTGACTTCCATGTACTGGGATTAAAGGAGTGAGCCAACACTACCTATCTCTATTTCTCTTTGAGACTGGATCAATCTAGTATAGCCAACGCTGGCCTTGAACTCACAGAGACCCCTCTGCCTCTGTCTCCCTGAGTCCTGGGATTAAAGGTGTGTGCCACCACTGCTTGGCTTAGTTCTGCACTCTGACCTTTAGGCCAGCATTATTCATTAAAACACAAACAAAATGTCATCATAGGAATATAATAAAATAAAATAAACATGACCATGAATTAAGACAGGAGTGGAGTCTTACTGGACAGAGTGATAAGGAATGACCATTAGGTGAGGAGAACTTGTATGGGTTAAATGTCAACACATAATGAAGGGATGTGAATCAGAGAATGTGACAACATAGATCTACATCTGCAAGTATTAAGGAATGGCATGTAAGAGAAGATCATTATAGCAATTCTTTCCAAAAATTGTATTTTCTATGCTTTCACACTCTTCAACTGTTAGGATACTTCACTTCAGTGGGCATGTTTGAGAGGTAACAGGTTGAAGTAATAATATTCAATTATAGCTGAATTTCAATTAGGCTAAAATTTCTTCTGGCTCCCAAAAACCTATATCAATGTCTTAATTTTTAGAGTAAAATAGTTTGTTTTTTCCTCTTATTACTAAGGAGGGTACAATGCTTCTCAAAACAATCTTTTGAGTCTAGAATATCACACTTCTAGAAAAGAATTACTTGGGGGGGGCAGATATAACCTAGCATATTTAAGATATGCTTCTGATGTGAGAGAACAGATATAAAAGGCTTTTTTGGAAAACATTTTAGATGAGAAAACTGAAGTGAATGTAGGACACACCTCCTGTGCTTGCTCAAGGATTCCAGACTTCATGAATTGCTACATATCCAGTGCCAAAATAAAGGGGTAGGAAAGAAGAAATAGTCTCTCTCCCTTACATGTTTGCTAAGTGTACCCCTCATTAAAGTCTATGTCGAGATAACGAAAAAATTAGAAAAACGGAAGCTTACCTGGATATGGTACTCTCCCCTTTGTTACCAATTCTGTCTGTAGTATTCCAAATGACCACACATCTGACTTTATAGTAAACCGACCATACAAGGCAGCCTCAGGCGCTGTCCATTTGATTGGAAATTTTGCACCTAAAAATAATGTTGGCAATGTTAAATGTTTTAAAAGAGCCTATTTGTGTAAATGTAAGGTCAAAAGTCTAATCTCTATCAATATCCCAATTTTTGGTGTCATAAGTTTAAGTCTTCAAACATAGAAAATATGTGGAAAATTTCATTGACTTTAAATTTCTATGTTAAATCTGTTTTTTTCTTATATTTAATGATATAAAACATTGCTAGTAGGAATAGAACATGATCCAATAAGACAGCAGTAGAAGGTTTAATAAGACAAATACATGGATTATAACATTGGAAACATGGAGGAAGAGCACATGGGATTCTGATCTTGCTGTATTTATCTTAGGCTAGTCTTAAATTCTCATAATCGTGGCCGGGCAGGTATGATAGTGCATACTTTAATCCCAGTAGACAGGAAGCAGAGGCAGGTGATCTCTGAGTTCAAGAGCAGCCTAATCTACAAAGCAAGTTCCAGTACAGTCAGGGATACACAGAGAAACCCTGTCGTGAAAGAAAAAAATTCTTACAATCCTATGTCAGCCTCCTGCAAACTAGGATTACAAACTTTTGCTCAATCTGCTGCTGTTTTGTGTGTGTCTGTATATGTAAAATAAGTAATGAACAAAGACTAAAACTTCATGTGTGTGTCTGTATATGTAAAATAAGAAATGAACAAAGACTAAAACTTCATGTGTGTGTCTGTATATGTAAAATAAGTAATGAACAAAGACTAAAACTTCATGTGTGTGTCTGTATATGTAAAATAAGTAATGAACAAAGACTAAACTTCATACGTGCATCCCTCTCTCCCTCTGTATGGCCTCTTAAGAGAGGGTCAGTTGGTCTCTAACATGCTATCTATTAGAGAATGACCATGAACTTCTGATCCTTCTGCTTCTAATTTCCAACTGCTAGGTTTAGAGACACGAGACACTACACTATTATAAAATATATAACTTCAAATTCACTTGATGTCCAGAGGCTGTAGCCATTTATGGTTGAAGACTAATGGCTACTGGCTCGTAATCTTTTCTGTACTTCTGTGCTATCTTTACAGAAGCTTTTATTGTGCTATCACATTTTTTATTGTGTGTTTGCATTCTCATGTGCCTTGGCACTTGTATGGAGGTCAGAGAACAACTCTGTGGAGTGGATCTATCTTTCTAACTTTAAGGGTTCCATCAAACAAACTCAGGTCACCAGGTCTGAGTAACTAGCACATTTGTCAGCTGAGCCATTGTACCATCCCTTGGGTTATCATGTTTAAAATATATGTTAACTTATAAAAATATTTAGTCTATGACTTTAATATACAAGCATTTTGCTAATTAATATAACTACAAAAACAACACAACTTTCATGAAATTTGTGTATTTATGCTAGTAAAATTTTAAGTGCTGTATATACTCAAAGTGATTATATACGTGTGTGTATATGTATATGTATATATATATATATATGTTTTAAAGAAGTTCTTAAGTATGAAAACAGTTCAACTTTTACAATAACAAGGCTTCATTAAAGAGTGGCAGATAAATTTAGCCTTTAACAAATGGTTAGGATTTTCTAAGTAAGGACTACAAGAATGTATGACTAGTTAGAGGTAAGTATATATAGAGACAGAGACAGAAAAGAAGTGGAAGGATGGTGAGGTGACTCAGCAGTTAACATCTCTCACTCCAGTTCTAGGGGATATGACACCCTCTTCTGGTCTCCATAGGTACTACATGCAAGCAAAAGACCCCCACACATAAAATAAAATAAATCTTTTTTTTTTTTTAAACTGTAGCTAAATCACGGGCTTTCTACTTTGGCAATGCTAACTATTCTGGGATGGAATTATTTTGTGAATGTGTGATTATTACGCTGTATGTTACAGCATGATTATCAGTATCTTAGCCTCTACCCATCAGATGCTGACAGTAGCCCTCAAATTAGAAAACCAAAAATGTTTCTAGACATTGTTGATATCTCCTTGGAGTAGAAAGAGATAATGTTTAATTGGGAACCACCTCCAATCTAAGAAAATAGTTTAAATAACAACTTATCAAGTTTGTTTTTTAAAAAAATGAGAAAACATTTATCTGGGACAAGGGCGATAGCTCAGTGTGTTAAGTGCTTGCTGCCCCTATGAATCTGAGTTTTGATTTCCAGAACCCATGTAACTTGTGTCTATGACTCCAGTGCTTTTACAGTGAAAAGGTAAATGGAAACAGAAAAATGTCAGGGCATTTGCAGGCAGCTAACCCTGGTACTTATCCTGGAAAACAAGAACCCAATCTCAAGATGGGAGAGTAATACCCAAAGTAATCCTCTGACCTTTGGGCGTTTGCTATGTCATGTGTGTGTCTGTACTCCCAAAAACAAACACACATGAAAACACAAAGAATAAATAAAATTTACTGCTGCCATCCTAAAGGAAGTACCAAGGACATTTTATCTGCTATATTTATAATACAAAAGTATCTCGTCAAGTTCTTCTTTAGGAATTAGCTATTAAACAGTCAAAGTATTATTTCTTGTATATAATTGTTTGAATAATATCAATGGTTCTGAGTCCTCTGAAGCAATCTAGAAGTCTCTCTCTCTCTTCCAAAACAGGGTTTCACTGTAGCTTTGGAGCAAGTCCTAGAACTTGCTCTGTAGATCAGGCTGGCCTTGAACTCACAAAGACCCACCTGCCTCTGCCTACCAAGAGCTGGGATTAAAGGTGTGTGCCACTACCACCTGAAAAAGTGCCTTGTCAAGACTGGGGCTCTCATTTTTGCTACTGTATTATCTATTCCTGGTTAGCTGGCCTGCTAACTTCTGAGTGAGCCTTCTGCCTTCATGTTCCATGTCTCCCTACAGGAGTGCTGGGATTAAGGGTGCAGACTACAACATCCAACTTTATGACATGGGTTCCAGGGGTCAAACAGGCCACCAGGCTTTGCTTTCCAAGTGTTTTTTACCAGCTGAGCCATTTTCCTAAACTCCTATCCCCCCAAATCCTGTTGATCGCCAACAGATTTCATAGATGGAGCAGCTTTGCTACATGGGAAATGCTCACACAGAAGCACTTAGTCTACCGATGGTTTCATGCCAGGTCCACATGAAAATGCATGTTACATGCTGAGCAAAAAAGCAGTATCTAGCTGTGCCCTGTTTCCCACAAAAGGCTCTTGTATCCACATCCTACCCTGATGTGCTTTGACAGCCCAGGTAGGCAGGAACCTCGTTATCCACTAGAATTATTGGTATTGCATAAAGTCCTGGGTGTTAAGTAAAACAAGCATAGGGTATTAGCATCTATGTATGTTATTTTACCTTGTCTTGCTGTGTACTCATTGTCTTCAATTAATCTTGCTAAGCCAAAATCTGCTATTTTGCATACAAGATTTTCTCCTACAAGAATATTAGCAGCTCGGAGATCTCGGTGAATATAGTTCATTCTTTCAATATACGCCATACCATCAGCAATCTTAAGAGAGGAAGCACAATAAGATGCAAAATATAAAAAAAGATGCAAAATATATGATGCAAAGGGAGGATACTTTTGGTTAAAGGGACTGTTGAAGAATTAGGTATCTCAAAAAAAAATTACAGTAACAGACACAATCCAGAAGACAATAGAACAAAACTTAAGTTTTAAAAAATGATTAATCTTTATATCCCAAATACTGCAAGTAAAAATCAATCAACACATATTTTGAAGATCAATATTTTATGCCCAGAGTACATCCAGTCACATGACCAGCACAAAGTCCTATTGTCTTCTTGTCAATGGTCAGAAGAAATCTATCACAAGAGGATGGAGTCTGGAGTCTCTGGACAAAAACTCACACAGTCCATACCAGACACAATCTAAGGTCCTGAAGTATGAACAAACTATAGCTTGTAAGTCAGATGTACCCACAGCCTGTTTTCATATGACTTGAGAAGTGTTAAAAGAAAATGGCTTTTACATTTAAAGGGCTGTATAACTAATGAGGCCCAATAGGGTTTGTATGTAGCTCACAAAGCCCATGCCATTTATCTAACTGTTTTATTAAAAAGGCTTGCCATTTTTCCAAAAGAAAGTGCCTAAGAGCCTTGAATGTATAGCCTGGCATATTCCTGTCTCCTCTGAAATTTGCTGGCATTATCAAATGACTTTCACTAACAGGTAAGAGCTACAGAAGCAAGCACATAAACTTATTTTAGACAAACAAAAAAATAGCATATACTTTCAGGCTTTAAATTTTGGAATAACCCATATCCATCTTAATTTTTTCCATTTATTTATTATTTATTTATTAACTATCTATCTCTATCTATCTATCTATCTATCTATCTATCTATCTATCTATCTATCTATCTATTTGAGACAGGGTTTCTCTGTGTAGTCTTGGCTATCCTGGAACTCAAACACCTGCCTCTACGCCCTGAATGCTGCTATTAAAAGCATGTGCTACCATCACTCAGCCTGTCTTAATTTTCTTAAATTTATCTGCTGAAATGTAAATACAGACTTTGTATTCGTGGAAGCTCTATGTCAAAGGTCGTATGATATTGGGCAACCACAAGAGCTGCAGTATACTTAAGGGCTCACACTGAACTACCTCTAACCTTCTCTCTTCTTCTAAAACTGCAGTATTTCACTGCACAAATTTTAATATTATGCTAAGATTTTTCTGCATTTTAAACATATGCTTTTAATTCAAATTGATACATATATATGCAACTACCTGAGCAGCCATATCGACCAGCTGTGGAAGTTTCAAATATTTTCCATCTCCTTCTTTAAGGAAATCTAACAAGCTCCCTGTAAGAGACAGAAAGGTATCCGGGGGGAAAATGTGAACATTACTTTAAAATAGAAACAAATAGTCTTCAATACCTTAAACAAATCATCAAACCAGAAAAACTTCTCAGTGTTTTTTTTTTTTTTTATGTATTTTGGACACTTTTGGAAGTATCAAAGACTCCAGTGGAGCCTCAAACTGAAAGTTTAAAACTTCTCTTGATTACAGATTTTAAAGGGACAAAGTACCACTTCCCATTCTGACAGAAAACATCACCACTTTAGTCATTGCCCCCACACACTTTGATCAAGATTCTGTGACAAAAAAAAAAAAAAAAAAAAAAAGCTATATATTTTAAAAGTCAGTTTGAGTCTAGTATACAGCCAACTGAGAATATCATGGAGTAGTTACAATTACAAGCAGCTCACGATGGTATGATGAACAGCTCCTGGTGTCAGAAGATGGCACTAGGGGCATAGTAAAGTATGATGAATTCAGCAAAGTGGAAGGTTAAAAGGGAGGTCTGGTTATTCTCTCTCTACTATGAGTAAAAAGCATACAACATCAGATAAACCCAAAACAAGACACATTTTTATAAAAACAAAACAACAAAAATACTCATTTTCATAAGAAAGGCTGAGAATTTCAGATTAAAAGACACAAAAGAGAGATGGCAATTGAATGCTGGGCTTGACCATGGATTCTACATTAGATCAGGAAAATATAATTGGTAGAACTGGTAAAGACAGATGTGGGTTGAATCGAGCATGAGTATATAGAAGGCCGGAGTGGCCAAGTTAGCACACAAAAAAAGTGACAGTTTATTTTTTTTATTTTTATTTTATTTATTTATTTGTTTTTTTCTTTTGGGGCGCAGTTGGCGCCTAGAACCTGCAGCTATGCCAAAAGCGTGACAGTTAGAAAAAGGTGCTAAATTCAAAAAAGGTGACATCGCAAAGCCGGTGAAGAATACTCCCAGCCAAGATAGTGCTGAAGGGGAGCAAGGGGGGAGATCCGACTTATGAGCTGTGAACGCCCCCCCACCTCGGCCAGGGCCAGTCGTGCGGGCGGCTGGCTCAATTCTGCGCTGGGGTTCACAGTGGGACCCCACAAATAGAAGAAACAAATTCTGAAGGCTGAGAATAATATGAAAACTCATGTGCAGGGCTGGGGCCAACAAAGCTCAGTGGCAGAGTGTATTCTTAGAATGTACAAGACCCTGGGCTTGGTTGTCAGCACAACAGTAGGAAAAAAACACATATGGAAATTAAGAACAACAAGAAAATCTGTTTGCAACAATAGGTTTCTGATAAAGCACATGAGACAATAAGTTTTAAAGGACTAACAAGGTTTACTGTTAAGCAACTAAATATTAATGACTGAGGAATAATTGTATTTTAAACCCAGAAACTTTTATTATTTTATATTTGAAATCTCTTACCTAGAAATAATCTTAACCAAATTATGTAACAACACGGAATTCTAGCATTTTCTCTACATTTTAAAAGACTGCTATATTGAACTATATGGATGCTCCATTAGTCTTACCTCCATTTGTTTTTTTCATGCTACCAATATGTTGATTTAAATTTCTTTCTTTTCCTTTTCTCACTTCCTCTTCTAATTCATTTAATGCACTCATTCAAATGCTATAGGTAGCAGTTGTTTGCAGCCTAAATGCCTTCCAAAGAAGACATATACTTTGGAACTTTAGGTATATTTTAGCTATCAATTAATAGGTTATTGGTTTTAGTCCTTTTAGAGAGATTTTTGTTTCTCTATCACCATTAATAGGAACTACATTATCAGCCAACATGAACTACTAGAGAAGGTGACATAATAGTAACTTAATTAGTCTGATTCAAAAAAAATAAAAATAAATCAGGCAGTGGTGGTACATGCTTTTAATTAGAGCACTTGGGAAGTAGAGGCAGGTGGGTCTCTGAGTTCAAGGCCAACCTGATCTACAGACTAAGTTCCTTGACAGCCAGGGTTACACAGAGAACCCTGTCTCAAAAAAACAAAAACAAATAACAACAAAACATAGTACAAAAATAAAAAATTTTAAAATAGATCCAATTAAAAATAGGTAGATTCAGACTAATCAGCATCGTTTAATCACTTACTGGCTCCTCTTCTACAGCATCATTAGCATAGATATAAAGAGGGAAGAGCATCAACCTTGCCTCGTTTTGCCCGACTCTAACACGCCACCGTTAAATAAGAGCTCACCTGTGCTCCTATAAGGTGGGAAGGATGAGAAATTTCAATTGACAGTAAGGGAGAACAGCCTCTGCAAGTCCAGTGTGTTAAGAACTGTGTTTATGTAAAATGAGATAAAAATGATTCCCTTCAATATCTTTGCCTTCTACAGTTTAACACTTTAATTCAATTTGTCTACTTTTTGACTGCCCTAGCAATTACATTTCCTTTACTTAAATCTACTTTCAAAAGATGCACTCTAATTTTTCTTTATAGTTTCATAAGGTCCTCTGGGAGAACTAGAAAAAAAACCACTATTCCATTAAAAAAAAAAAAAAAACCTAACATTTCCTCTTTTAAAAGTCTACAGAAAAAAAATCTTAAGTTAGAAAATACTATGACAAAAATCTGTATGTATAGAGGGCCTGCAAGAGGGCTCAGTGGGTAAAGAAAGATGTCTGCTGCCAAGACTGGTAACCTGAGTTTAATCCCCAAGACCTGAATGGTAGAAGAAAACGGTCCACTCCGTCAAGCTATACTTTGACCTTCACATATGTGTCACGACGCCTATACATATATGCATGCAAAATACATAAATAAACATAATTTTAAAGGACAAACGTGTATTCTGTGAGCTACATTAGCAATCAGCCTGCCAGGTATACTCCCTGGTGCAATGGGGCATGACTGTTACAGGAGTAACCATCCATCTTCTGGTTGGACTTAAAAAGCCCACTTCATGAGATGGAACCCATACCTCTGAGAGGTAGATCATAGACACCAGAGAAAATCTCCAATTATTGTGTTAAATGAACAAAGCAAAAGGACTCCTACCAAAATACTGCTATACCCACACAGAAAAGTGTATCACTGAGTCTCACCAGAGAGAAGACTTCTTGCAGTAGATGGATCACAACTAGACAAAATACAGAGAGTAAGAGACTGAAACACTGAGGTCTAAATGGGATCACACCCTAATTATTATCAAAGCCCTCCCCTCAAGGCTCAGAGATCTATGCGAGAGCCAGAGGTGGTGGATGACTCCACAATAACAGTATTTTCCAGACACAGCAGGTCTGATGCACATATGAACTCCCAAAGACACAAGTTCAAACCAGACAAGTTCCCAACAAAGAGAAGGGCAAGTGGGCACAAAATCCAACTCCTTACCAAGACCCTATTCGCAATTGACAGCTTCAGGGAAAGGGAAAATTCAGTTGTTGTTCTTTTTTGTTTGTTTGTTTGTTTTCCAACGGAGAGACAATGGGTATATCAACCATACCCCAAGAAAGGCTGCATGCCCAGGAATAACTGGCCAACAAAAAACAGACTCCATGGTCTTGTTTTAATTTTGTTTTGGATATTTTTTGTGTTTTCTTTTTTCTTTTTTTTTTAAGAGAAAGAATATAAAGTTGGGTGGCTGACTGGGCTGAGTGGGTATCTGGGAAAGAATATGAGCAAAATATATTGTATGATTTTTTTTTTAATCTAAGAAAGAACAGAAATAAAGTCATTTAATTGCAATAGAACCATGTAAAACACAACTCATATCTACATACCTTTTGCCATAAACTCGGTGACAATATAAATTGGCTCTTCGGAAACAACTGCATACAATGGAACAAGTTTATCATGTCTTAATTTTTTCATTATCTGAGCTTCTTGAAGGAAAGCTTCTGGCATCATTGTACCTGGCTTTAGGGTTTTGATTGCTACCTTTGTGGTTCCATTCCATGTTCCTAGGAAAACAATTTATTTTACTCTTTCAGTATCTGTAATTCTGTATCTGAGTCTGTATTTCAAGGGATTTTAGACCAAAATTCAATCAACAATAACAATTATCCAACATATAATTAAATACATACTATACATATTTTATCATATTTTGCTATTGTAATTTATGGTTTCACAATAACCAAATGAAGTAACAACAAAGCTCAGGTTTCTTACCCATCCACACTTCACCAAAGCATCCTTGACCCAGTTTAACCTCCAGTCGCAAAGATTCTCGAGGGATTTCCCAAGCATCTTTTGCTAGACCTTGAGTCTGAGGTTTCACAGTTGGACACACAGTTGTTAACTTGTGACATAAACCATCAGCATGTTCTAGATAAATGAACAAGGTACACTGTAAATGAATTACTTTCAAAGTTAAGACAATTAGTGTGTGTATATACATATGTGTATATATTTACATATATGCACAAATATACATACACACACATAATTGATTATTTAATTAGTTTTTTAGACAAGATCTTAGTAGGTGGTCCTGACTAGCTTGGAACTTACTATGTAGACCAAGCTGGCCTTGAACTTAGTGATTTCTCTTCTTCTAGGATTAAAGGGTATGCCACCATACCTGGATTATTATTTGGTTTTTTAAAAAAGCTTAAATTATTGAATTAAAACCTCTAATCAGCTTTACTCTAAAGCTACATATACAACAAGAAGCTTTCTATAAGAAGTATATACAAGTGGCCAGGCAGTGGTGGCGCATGCCTTTAATCCCAGCCTTCAGGAGGCAGAGGCAGGTGGATCTCTTTGAGTTCAAGGCTAACCTGGCCTATAAGAGCTAGTTCTAGGACAGGCTCCAAAGACACAAGACCGCAAAACAGAATACTTTTCAAAGGTCCTTGAAAAGACAAAAATGTCTATATTTCCTATAGGTTCATTTGCTTGGATAAGAAATAACACCTTCAGCTGGGCAGTGTTGATGTACACCTTTAATCCCAGAATTCAGGAGGCAAAGGCAGGTGGAGCTATGTGAGTTCAAGGCCAGCCTGGTTTACTACAAAGTGAGTTCCAGGCCAGCCAAGGCTACACAGAGAAACCCTGTTTCAAACACCAAAAAGAAAGAAATAGCATGTTCAAACTGGATTTTGTAGGGTTTTTATTTTAGAAAGCCTTCAAAGATTCAGCTTCTACAGAATAAAATCAATAAAGATATCTGAGAGCTTTTGACTCTATTCCTTTCCTTTTCTTTTTTGAAGTGCTGGGGAGGGAAACATGGCACATGCTAGTAAGCACTTTACCACCAAGCTATAATCTTAGCTCTGAGAAAGCTTTTTTATATTACAAGTTTAATTTTAGCTATTTAATATACATAAATATTTGCTATCATGTTCTATAATTTATTATCACAATCAATCTTAGCATTTATACATTATGATCTAGAACTCCAATGCAAACACTTTGCCAATAAGGCATAAGGATTCCAATTATAGCCTGATTTGAGCATGCTATCCAATAGCTCAATTCATGGTCCTGCTATGTTACCTGGGTCACATGTGACTCTTGTTCCTCATTTTGGAACTAGAGCACAGCACCAGCAAGATGGCTCAGCTGGTACTTGTGGCCAACCCTGACAGCTTAAATTGCATCTCCAGGACCCAGAGGATATGAAAAGAGAAGTGAGTCCCTACGTTGTTCCCTGACCTTCACACCATGTATCATAGCATCATAGCATGAGTGTGCACATACACACATTAACATGCACGAACACTAAATAAATACTTTTCCAAAAAAATTCAACCCAGAACATCAACATCTATTGGTGATTGACTGTGTGTAAATATAAATGAGCATATTAAAGCTTAAGAAAGATAAAGAACTGTCCTCACAAAATAGAATGTAAGGGATTAATTCCTACCCCTGAAGTGCTCACCTACCTGTGTAGTGCTTCACCAGTTTCTGCAAAGTATCAAACGGAGCTCTGGTCGTGATGTAGTATCCACCGTTGTCAAGTTTCCTGATTTTGTAATGCTTCACATTGTCACCCCTTACCTCATCCCAGTCACGAATCGAGAGGGAATAGGCGCCTGGGGGGAGAGGGACATGTTCACTCCAGCTTCCTCAACCTATGCCTAATGCATATTGTGCACATATTAATAAAATATTCATACCTTTAGTGGTTTCACTTTCTCTGACTAAGAATATACCTCGCTGATTCCCAGGATTCAGAAGTAATCTTTCAGCATCTTTTCTCCCCATTTTCCCAAAATACCATCTGAAAAAGAATTTAATGATGTTTTGAGATAAAAGGTATGAGGATCAAAAAAATTACATAAATGTATCAATAAGAATGGAGTGCAATAGCCTGGCAGCGGTAGCACACTCCCCTAATTCCAGGCAGATACAGGAGGATCTCTGTGAGTTTGATGGCAGCCTGACCTTCAGAGTGAGTTCCAGGACAGTCAGGGCTACACAGAGAAACCCTGTCTTGAAAAAGAAATAAGCAAACAAAGTATTAATGTTAGCTCAAGTATAAAAATATTAACTGTGACCCAGGCAGTAGTGGTGAATGCCTTTAATCCCAGCATTCAGGAGGCAGAGGCAGACAGATCTCTGTGAGTCTAGCCTGGTCTACAAAGCGAGTTTCAGGACAGCCAGGGCTAAAAAGAGAAACCCTGTCTCAAAAAATGAAAAAACAAAGAATCAAAAAGCAAAACAAACAAACAAAACATGGAAACAGTTTTTCCATGTACTAACTACTCTCACCATGTCTCTAAATTCCCCTTACCAACCAGAAAATCAGTAAATAGAGAAGGAAAGACAAAAATACAAACAAAACAATATGTCAGTGAGGGGAATTAATTCTTTAGAAACAAATATGATCACCTGTATTCAGTAAAATGCTGCAAGCAGATCATACCAAAATCATAGGAAACTCCAAATATGTGTGGGTTTGATTTAATAAAGCTTAGTGACAAAAAAAAAATGACAGTTATTACTGTGGGAAAGTTCACAGAATACTGAAGACAAAGAACCAAACAAAGTAAAAAAGAGTCATAGTAGAAAAAGAACACTGATGTGATGATTTGTATCAGTAAAAACAAGCAAGCAACACAAATGCATCATTCCGGCCTATGGAGTGCAAAAATATGAGTTTTAAAAATAAACGGGAAAATAAAGGAAAGAGAATACAATGTAAAATGATTAATAAAGATTTGCTTATTGTGTGTCTGAGTAGATATATTAATCATTCTTAAAAGCACTTATTAATAAGATACATTAGCTGTATTAAGACTAGAATATAATAGTGTATAAGTTGTGTTAAGAAGAATGTGCATTAATTAATAAAATATGAAGTAGCATCATACTCTTCTGCCTGAATGGAATCTGCAGGTGCTACATAATTGCTAGGAATATAACCATTCTTTCCGGTAGCAATTGATCTTGCTTCCCACCAGTCTCCTTCCCTGCAACACAAAAAACAACAATCACTATAATGCAGACACTTACCCAAGGTATAATTCTTATCTCATGCAAATAACAGAAACCACTTCCATATTTAATCTGGAGTTTTTCTTGGATTAATACACAAAGAGCTGAGCTCAAAAAACACTATTTTTAAAAGCTGGTTAGATGAATAAGGGAATTAAGACCACGCAAAAGCACAACTGTTGCTCTAAACCAACAGTAATAACAGAAAACCCTTAAATACTGTACATTTGAATTCTACTTACTTTTTTCATGTGAATTCTTTCAACTAAGGCTAATAAACTATGCTGAATAAAGAAATTTACTAAATTTTAAATACAATTTTAGAAGTTTAAGATTTTATTTGTATGCTATATACACCTCTCACATTTAAAAGATAACATTTAAGGACTTTAATATATTCAGAATTGTAAAGTCATCAAAATAATACATTTTAGAACATTTTGCTATCATAAAAACCCTAGGCTGGTAAGATAGTTCAGCAGGTGAAGGCACTTGCCACGCAAGCTAATGACCTAAATTCAATGCCCAGAGTCAGTGTAAAAGAGGAAGGGGAGAATCAACTACACCAAGTTGTCCTCTAGGCTCCATATATGTGCCTACACACATATCATATTAAGGTTTACCTACATTTTAGCCTATGTCATGCTAATTTTTTTGTTCTTGATACCAAATGCTTTATTTTAATAAGAAATAAAATTCTAACATTTATAAAAGTCACCTTAAAAATACAATCAAAGGTCTTACTATTCTTATACGCAAACTTGACAATCAAAGTTGAATTTCTGGAGCTGGTGAAATGGCTTAGTGGGTAAAGGCACTTGTTGCCAAATCTAAAGACCTAAGTGATCCCCAATCCTACAGGGCTGGGGGAGAGAACGACAGAGAACCTATTTCTAAAAGTTGTCTTCTGACCTCCATACACATGCCATGATACATGTACATACCCACACTGTGTGTGGAGTGTGTTTCTCTCACAATAAGTACAACTATTCCTTTGTCTGTCTCTCTCCCAATAAATAAAAATATTTCTTTGCCTGTCTCTCTCACAATAGGCAAAACTATTTCTTTAAAAAAAAGCTGAAGTTCTAGTGGTGGTGGCATAAGCCTATGATCCAGCACCCAGGAGGTGGGGGCAGAACAGACTGGGCCATATAGCAAGACCTGATTCAAGTAAAACAAACATGTATGGTTCTAAAATGTTATTCAAAAACTGATATCCAAACATCAGCAAAAATAATATATTTCAAAATATGAGGCTGCATATTGTTTAGAATATATATTAACCTTGGCTTTTCCAAAATTCCTATGAAAGTATCTCTAACAAGATGTGTGTGAGAGATTCACTACTGAAGATTACATGTATTGTCTGAACTGAAACTTTTATAAATGTTCGAAGTGAATTTAATCTCTAAAGAAAAAATTAAGAAAACTTTTGATAATTTAACTATTTGCAAACAAATACATTGATTAGTGGAGCCCTAGAATACATTAAATCTTTTTCTCATATATATAGTATGTAGCCCTAGTTGGCCTAGAACCTGTGATGATTCTTTCTTATTAAAACTTTGTATTTGACCTTCCTAAGAATTCCCTGAGTCATTCACTGAGCGTCACTAAGTGTAAGACAAACAGCAGTCTGTAAGGTCAAGAACTGATTCTGGAGCAGGGACAGCAATTATAATGGTACTAACACTCTGACACTTCATATTTGATGAATCTTTTGTCATGTACATAGCATAATTTTACCAATATCCCTAGCAGGTACAAGATGACAGTTGCCACACTCTCCCTGACTGTGACAAACAAAAATATCTCCAGACACTGCTAAATACCTTCTGTGTGATTCTGCCCCAAGCTGAAAATCATTGGTCTAAAAGAATGAAAAATCAGCCGGGCAATGGTGGTGCACACCTTTAATCTCAGCACTCAGGAGGCAGAGGCAGGCATCCCTGAGAGTTCAAGGCCAGCCTGGTCTTCAGAGTGAGTTCCAGGACAGGCTCCAAAGCTACACAGAGAGACCCTGTCTCGAAAAATCAAAAGAAAAAAATGATAGGCTAAATTAAAAATTGTAATTTGCAATATGATGATAGCCATGACTGAGGTTTGTAGAACATCATGTAAACACCTAAGAGAAACATTCATAGAGTAAGGTGTGCGAACTGAGCCAGGCAGGAGAGGAAGAAGACAAGGAGATGAACCACTGAAAAGGATATAGGAAATACCTTTTAAAGGATGAGGAAAGCTAACTTGAAAGGGGAAAGAAGCAAGTAATCAAGTAGAGTTTAGTGACATAGCACAGAATTTGCATGCTTGAGGCTCAGGATTCTATCCCCGTCTCAAACAAGCACCCTTCCCACCCCACAAAAAAAGAAACAGACCAAAAGTTATTCCAGAAAAAGAAATAGTATGTATGAAGGCAAGAAGAGGGTGAGAAACTATTGTACTCCAAATATTGCAATTATATTGTTGGGTAGCAGAATGAGAAAGGATAGAAATACAGGGCAAAGTCTTGATGGATGATGATTATTGTTGTTGTTGTTGCTCTTTTTAAATCTTTGTAACTAACGTAAGCTACTGAAGGATCTTAAGGCAGAGAGACACAATCAGTTTATGTTCTGGAACAGGAAGTGATAACATATGGTAAAATGAGGACAGAGGGAAACATGACAAGAAGCAGAAGACCATAAGTACATGCTTTGAGAAGTTACAAGGTGGTTGTTATGTTTACTAATGAAATTAGGAAATCTGCAGCATAACAAGCATCAAATTTTCTATGGCAGACTGCTAAATGACAAAGTCTAAGAGTAACTAAGAAAAACACAATTTGGTAAGTTTCAGAGTACAGGGGTTCTATATCTACCTCTCCCATCCCCAACACATAAGGTTGTAAAGTCATCTGGTATTTATATAAATACAGATTTTACTTTCTAAAGATCTTTTTATAAAGGGCATCATTTCTGGAGACAGGAAGTCATATAGCCCATGTTTACCTGGAACTCACTATGCAACTTAGGCTAGCTTCATACTCAAGATCTTCTCTAGTGCTGGGATTACAGGTATGTGCCACCACACCTAGAATTCTTTCTTCTAAAATCTGTGTTCACAGATTAACCCTAAGTACAATTTGTAAAAGTAATAACTTCTGCTGGTAGCAATATATTATCCAATGTAATCAAAGGCATCATCTAACCCGAAACAAAGATCCATACCCCACCACTCTCATTTCCATATCATCAATTCCATCAGCGGTCCATGTAGAGACCAGGCTCCTCTCTTACAAAATATACACAAAACTTACGTATTGTTAATTATTTGAAATCTTTCACCCTTCTTAAAGGAAAGGTCTTCTGTAGTTCTAGCTTCATAATCATATAAGGCCACAAATATAGTGACACCACCTGGCACAGGAAAAAAAGACCAAGGTAAATGATATACCTGAATACAATGAAAGAAATAAACAATTATTGCTGGTAAAAGCTTAGGTTCAGTTTCCATCTTCCTCTAGTATTTTTTTAGAAGCTGGGTTTTAATAAAAAGTTCTAAGGCTTCCTGTGAAACTGTATAAATTCTAAAATCCTATAAACTCTGAAATAAACATAATTTCACTTCTGAAGCAACATGTCTGGTTTGAAAAAGAAGCCACATTGCATATCAATTCTTTGGGACGGAAAGCACACAAACTACATGCACCTGTCTTCAATTCCTTAACATGAAAGCATTTCCATCTAAATCCATTAAAAGCAATCATTAAGGTTTTCTTAAAGCTCACTTTATACTTAAAAATATCATATTTGTCCTGAAAGTTAAGTGTATGGCCAATATGAATTATACTGTATAAATTCAAAAAAATAGTTATCAGATTTATTAATGTATTAATATATTTAAAAGATGAACACATTTAATATCTGATATATTATGTGCAAATAGAATAACAGAACATATATATAAAAAATGACAATGCAGTGTTTAAATATTTAAAGGAAGGCATTCTAGCTTTAAAAGTCTATTATATCATTTTTATAAATGTATATATTTATCAAGAATAATAAGATTTTGAAACACATGCAAATTATGCAATGGTTAAATCAAGTCACATTATTCATCTTTTTTTGGCAAGAAACTTAAAATCTACTTTAACCAATTTTCAATACAATTTGTTGTTACTAAGCAGAGTAGTTACAAGGTTGTACAATGGAATTCTTGATCTTATTCCTACTGAAATTTTATGGTTTTTTTTTTTAACCAACTCTTTTCCAAAAAGGGTGTGAGAGGATCAAATCCTTAGTCTCCTACATGCAAGATCAGACCTCTGAGGAACATATTCTTTTTGAGACAAGGCCTCACTCTATGGACCAGGCTGGCATCCAAATCATAAGAGATCTGCCTGCCTCTGCCTCCTGAGTGCTGGAGTTAAAGACGTTGTGCCACCACATCCGGTTGACCAATATAGTCTTAACTCAATTATTTATCATCTCTATCTAGTATAGTCCAATTGGTTTGCTGCATCCATTATTATTTATCCATCTTTTTTTTTTAATGGGAGAGGGAAAAGGTAGGTAGTAGTAAAACTACAAATGAGTGATAAATGCAAATACTGTGACATGGAAAATGCATGGAAATAACATGGAAAATAAAACTTACTGCCTCTAAATACAAAGCAGAAGAAAAACAAAGGTATAGGAACACGTTCATACATAGCATCAGCTCACTCTAAGCTTTAGTCATCAATCCACTTGCTTATTTGGTATCTCTACTTCATTGTCTAGTAAGTACTCAAAATTTATTATAAACGAATGAAGCTCTTGATTTTTCTTCTTTAATCTATATTTGTTCAAGTCTCCTCTCTCTCTAAGCAAAAGGGAGTGTGATATGGTTGGGACTGTTAGTTCTAGTTCTAACATTGATAATTTACCTATTTCTCATTCTACTGTGGTGCCACCTCTCACTAGGAAAGCTGGCACCAGAAATTACCTTCCTAACTTACTTCTACTCTGCTTTACTATCTCCCATTCTTCACACAGCTACTAGAGTCAGTTTTAATTACTTTTCAAGTTTTATTTTCATTTATGTGTTTATGCGTGTAAGCCATGTATGTACAGGTGTCTGAGGAGGCCAGAGGACGGTGTTGAACTGGAGTTACAGGTAGTTGCTAGAGGCCTGATATGGATGCTTGGAACCAAACCCAGGTCCTCTGGAAGAACATCCAGTGTTCTAAACTGCTGATCCATCTCTACAGTCCCTAGAGTATTTTTAAAGAGGAAACCCAACAAGCAAATTCCCTTACTTAAATCTCAAAGCTTCTTTCTAGCTTTGAATAACACCCAAGCCCTTTCCTACAGTCTATGGTCCTAAGCAATTACAGTGTCCTGTCCAACTGTTTAGTCTAGTACAATTCTCCCATTTATGTTCTTTGGTCTTCAAAAGTTCTAAGTGCATTTGTATTTCTTGAACTTTGTGTTTGCTAATTTTGTTATTTTGCTTGTTCTTTCCTGAGCTCTACAAACAGATCATATCTATCAATTAAGTATCAGTTCAAGTGATTTCTTCTCAAGGTGGCTTTCTTTGGCAACTATAGGGCCTTCATCAATCATCTTGTTTTTGCCTTCAAATACTTAAACACTACTAATCACTCTCTTTAGCTGTTTATTAACTAATTATTATTCAATCATTATAATATAAATTTAACTAGGTACAGAAGCTTTGTTTATATTGCTCACCTCTCTATATCTTATATAAGACATTCTGGTCCTCTCCCCCCCCCCCTTTTTTTAGTTATTATATGAACACCCATAAATGGAATATTTCAAATAAGTAAATTGCTTTAAGTATTGAAAGCAGATCTGCGAAGAGTTGGGGGGAGGATTGTGGGAGGTGAAAAGAATCAAAATATATTGTATGCATGCACATAATTTGCAACAAATAAAAATAGTGATTTTTAAAAAATTTTTTAAGTAACTAAAGAAATGCCTTTTTGTATCAACATTTATTTACTCTAGCCGTTTTTAATCACTACCTTTCCCAAGTAATGTCAAGGCTTGTGTTAACTATCAGAAATAGCACCCTGGTCACTGGGTGGCTGAAATTAGAACTGTGATCAATAATATCTAGCATTGTCCAAATGCTAATAGATCTAGTGTGTTACAGACCTCTGGCTATTTCTACTGGTCCAGAAATGAGCAGAATGAGGAAGACAAATGCATATACTATACAGGCCACGCTTGTAGAAGAGATTTCTACTTTTTGTCTCCACTGATTATTAATAAGGTCATGAGCCATTCCATTTGTCCTTGGCACCTGTTTACACCCAAGGTTAGGGTGGGCACTCCAAAGATTAGTAACACCATGCCTTGCTGACATCATGGAACTTTCACAACAGGAAATCCTGGAACTCACCCTTTTTTAAGACAGTTGTGCTTTGTCATTTTAAGAAAAAAAGCATCCTCATGTGGGGCTTTGAGCAAAAGAGCTATTTTCTTTCTTTTTAAAATCTACACTTTAAGACTACATGATTCTGTAGCAAGATTGTCAATTATCACTTCTTGCCATCCCCTGAAAGGCAGTAACAATGTAATAAATGGAGTTTTGGACTAGAGTACTAAATCTGTTGCTTATCAACTGTCACTCTGAAGGAAAACAATCTGAACATTGAGCTTCAGAATTTTCCTTCCTAAAATCAGTACCTGGGCCAGTAAGATGGTGTTGGGACCAATTAAGTCCTGGCCTTCAGCTGGATGTTGGGACTAATTGAGTACTGGCTTTCAGCTGTTCTACCCTGCTAGAACCTTCTAATTGAAGTTACTAGAAGCTGTGCCTAGCTTAGAGGATCAGAGGATGGGATTATCACCTGTTGGCCATTGACTGACGTGTATTTAAGCCTACATGATGTTAATTAAAGGGGGGCTTTTGGTACCAGTGTTAAAAGGTCTGCGTGTCAGTCTGTCTCTATGTCTATATTCTCAACCTCCAGACCCCTTTCCCGAAGCTCGTGAACTGGGGTCTAGAGCGCAGACCGGGGCCGCAGTGCACGGCAAGATGACTTAGCTAATAAGGCTGTCTGCTGCCAACACTGATGATCAAACTTCCCAGAACCCTATCATGTATATATTAAAACTTCAAAGCTGGAGATACAGCTCCGTGGAAGGGAAGGGAAGGGAAGGGAAGGGAAGGGAAGGGAAGGGAAGGGAAGGGAAGGGAAGACAAACCCAAAAACATTGAGAGTAATGCGGCTACACAGTCAGACTGCCTTTTGTTAAAGGCTTTATTTGCTCATCCAACTTTTTTGAAAATCTGCTAATAAGAAATTTTTCCTAACAGTGGCCATACCTGAAGTATGTAAAGTCCAAGGTTATATTTTCTGCAACTGACAATTTAAATCTCACCTGTTAAACCTGTAGGGTATGGACTTGGCACCACTGAGAATGAGGAAGATGCTCCTCCAAAAGGAGTCACTCCAGATGACCCTCCAAATGGTGTCATGGAAAGACTGTTAAAATTGACAGATGTTCCCTTTGTGGAAGAGGTTGGGGCAACTGTAGTGTGTTCCGTTCCATAATGACTGCCACTTGTGCTTACAGGCTCTGGAGGGTTTTCCGGTGTATATTTAATGGATGGACTTTTATTTTCTTTACTTTTAATGCAGCCCATTATCAAACCTGCAGAGGCAATAAGGCAATATTTGAGAATTAGTTAACATACCGGGAACTTCAAAAAGACAAAATTGAGCTGGGCAGTGGTTGTGCATGCCTTCAACCTTAGCACTCCAGAGGCAGAGGCAGGCTGAACTCTAAATTTGAGGTCAGCCTGCTCTACAGAGCTAGTTCAAGACAGCCAGGGATACACACAAAAACTCTGTCCTGACAAACAAAGCAAAACAAATATATGAAAGAGCAATTAACAACAAGTGTTCAATCCCCCAGCCAACACAAATATTAAGTTACACTTTTGATTATTACTTTGGAAAATTCTAAGTCAATATTTAAGGCTAAAATTTATCTGTGGGTATATGTAATACCCACAAAATATGTTGAACTGCATATGTTGAACTAAATATTAGTATAACAAGTTTACAAAATTATCTAAATACAAAGTCTAAGTATTAAAATATTAATAACTAAAGTCTGAAAGAACAGCAGTCATATAAAAGAGTTTAAAATATGAAAGAAAACACAATTTTAATTCTGAGTAGGCTCATGGTGAAATGTCCTATCAGTTCAAAAAAAGTGACTGTAATTACTTACTACCTATTTCCTCTCACAGTTTCCTTAATTACTTTCCTACCTTCTTCATACAGTATGACTTAAGTCTCCAAGTTATTACTTAGGGGCTGGCAGTACAAAGAAAGTCCAACAAGACTCATTACACACATCCCTTCAAGAGCCACAGGCATTTTCCTCTGCTTACCTATGAAGTCTTCTATTAGTACTCCTGACTTGTCTCCCCTTTCCTCTTAATATTCTCTTGGTCCTCACAGCAAATATAGATAATTTTCTTTTAAAAATCTCCTCTTCCTTAGCCAAATTAATCATCTAAACCCTGATTATTCTACTTTTTATATACCTCTTATTTTCCTCCTCTTTCCACTCACCCACTTATCCTCTTCAATAGCACAGGCGAGACTACCGCTGTCAGATCAGTTCCAGCAGTACCCTGCATTGACACACAGAAGCCCTACTGCTGTCCATCTCATTTCAAATGTTAAAAATGCAGTGTGGTTTTATTTTAAAGTAACTGTCAGGTGTAGACAAGAGTTAAAAGACATTTGGTGGTGACCAGGGGCAGGAAGGGGTTGCTGGTAACATGGTTGAAAGCAGTGGTTCTCAACCTGTGGGTAGCAACCACTTTGGCAAATATTTACATTTACATTACTATTCACAACAGTAGCAAAATTACAGTTACAAAGTAGCAATGAAAATAATTTTATGGTTGGGGGGTCACCACAACATGAGGAACTATATTAAAGGGTCGCAGCACTACGAAGGTTGAAAACTACTGGTTTAGTGGGTAAACAAACCTGCCAGTAAAACTGGGCGTGGTGGAGAACACCTTTAATCCCCGCAGGGAGGTAGTACTGGTAGATCTGAGTCCAAGGCCAGTCTGGTCTACAAAGTGAATTCTGGCCAGTCAGGGCTGTTACACAGAGAAGCCCTGTCCCAAACGTGATGAACAGACTTCCATTCCAGGAACTCACATAAAAAGCTGGAGGTAGTGGTATATACCTGTAATCCCAGCACTCTGACTGTAAAATGGGAGGAAAAGGCAGAAAAAAAAAGATTGAAAACTTGTGGGCCAGCTAACATGGAATACTGAGTACAAAAGAAACAAGGCAGACATTGCCTCAGCAAGGCAGGAGGCAAGAACTGACTTTCTGCAATTAAAAAGATAATTTTTTAAATTGCTAATTTCATGTATAAGGGTGTTTTGTCTGCATGCATGCTTGTGTACCATGTGTGTGCCTGGTACCCACAGAAGCCCTGGAACTGGAGTTATAGGCATTGGGAGTTGCCATGTAGATGCTGGAAATCAAACCCAGGTCCTCTGGAGGAGCAGCCAGTGCTCTTAACCACTCTTTAGCCAAATACCTGACTTTTTTTGTTTGTTTGTTTCTTTTAAAGAACAAACTCTTGAAAGTTATCCTCTGATCTTTATATGTATGTCATGGCGCAGATGCACACACACACACACACACACACACAATAAATGCAGATTTTAGAAAGATCAGACTGTTTTATAGATTGCTTTGAGTTCTAAGCTACTGACTTAGGTATATGTTAACATAAATTATTAGAACACAGGAGGAGCAAGGGAAGGAGGGGGGTCCTCCTCTTTTTACAAAAGGTCCCACAGAAAGTGTAAGAAACAAAATACTGTTAAATCTGCAAAGTGCTAGAGGGGAAAGAGGTACAAAATACCATAGAACACAAGAGTGTTTAAGTAAGTCCCTGCATGCTCAGGAAAGAAAGTGGTGCAAAGGAAGTGGGTGTTGCTGCAATTTAAGATTCTTGTAGACTATGAACTTAAAAATGAAAATTATGGAAATCCTTCCTCTTAGACACTATCAAAGTTTTTACATAAAATGCCAACCCCCCCCCCCCCCCATTAACTGAGGTATGTACCCATTTCATGAGAGTTTCAACTGTGTTTTGGTGAACAGGTCAAACTTCACAAACAACATTATAATCACAACATACAAGGTTTTTAACATCCCTCAGACAATTCCTAACCATAGCCCTAGGTAACCACTAATTGGTTGCTTCTAATTACGGATTCATCTTTTCTAGTGTTTTACATAGAGGTAATTACAAAAGCAATCTTTTGTATCTTCTAAAAGTCAAATAAATACTGTGTGTGAATCTGAGATAGCTCCACAGTGTTATAATCAGTTCATTAATTTTTGTTGACATTTTTGTTAAATGAGTTATTTATTCCAGTTTAGGGTTATTCCTGCAAATCTTTGGGCTTTTTTTTCCTCCCCAGCCTCAGCAACAGCTAGAAATGGAACTGGTTGGCCTTATGAGATAAAACTAAAGACGCCTTTGCTCTATGAAGCTATTTATCTTTTTTCTATATAATCTGTTCTACTATAAACCCTCAGAGAGTCATGTGTATTCCAGTTGCTTTACAAAAATAACACTTCCTTCTCAAAAAGTCGTATGTTTACTTGGATCTGGATACATCTAAACATCAATATAGCTATCATTTCACTCTATTTAGGAAGCTTTAAAATGGACATCTGCTGATATCAAAAGGAAGCCAACAATACAAAATGCATCTGGATGAGCTGATGTTAAATACATTTACCACAAAACTATTAAAACCATCAAAAGAACATGTCATTCCCTGCGAGCTCCATAAAGACTAGTACTTGGTGGACATAGAAGGTGAGACAATAGTGGCCCTGGGATCACAGACGCCTACTCCCTAAAACCTAGACATGAAAGAAAGGCCAGGGCCCCCCTCCCCAGGTGCCTTAGGCATTCCTAGCACCAGCAGGGAGCTGTTCTACTAAATAGCCATTTACCCCGCCCCAACAGGTCCTTCCCTGCTGGCTTCTTGCAGACCAATACTTGGTGGACATAGGAGCACCAATAGGAAGCTGATCTGCTAGACAGCCATCTACCCCATCCCCAATGCGTTGTTCCCTGCGAGCTCCATGGAGACCAATACTGGGTAGACATAGGAGCACCAGCAGGGAGCTAGTCTGCTAGACAGCCATCTACCCCACCCCAAAGCATCCATCCCTGCTAACTCCCTGGAGACAATTCTTGGTGAACATAAGAGTCATAAGACTTGAAGGAAGAAATGGAAAGGCGCCAATCCAAGAACTCCTCCAACATGGTACCACCAGAACCCAGCGGACACACAACAGGAAGACTTGATCATCCTACCCCAGAAGATATAGAAAAAAAAATGACTTTAAACATTACTTAATGAAAATGATGAAGACCCTTAAAGAGGAAGTGAAAAACTCCCTTAAAGAAACAGAGAAGAAGATAAACAAAAAGCTGGAAGAAATGAATAAATCCCTCAAAGAAACAGAAGAAAACCAAGAAAAAGCAATAAAACAGGTGAAGGAAACAGTTCAAGATTTGAAGATTGAAATAGAGGTAATAAAGAAAACATAAACCAAGGGAACTCTGGAAATGGAAAATCTGGGTAAATGAACAGGACCTACAGAGACAAGTATAACTAACAAAATACAAGAGTTGAAGAAAGAATCTCCAGCACTGAAGATTCTATTGAGGAAATAAACTCAGTGGACAAAGAAAACACTAAATCCAACAAATTCTTAACACAAAGCATTCAGAAAATCTGAGACAACATGAAAAGACCAAACCTGAGAATAATAGGGGTAAAAAAAGAATTCCAGCTCAAAGGCACAGAAAAAATATTCAACAAAATTATAGAAGAAAACTTTCCCAACCTAAAAAGGTACAAGAAGCTTAGAGAACACCAAATAAACTGGATTAAAAAAAAAAAACATCCCCTCACCATATAATAATCAAAACACAAAACATACAGAACAAAGAAAGAATACTAAGAGCTGTAAAAGAAAAAGGTCAATTAACATATAAAGGAAAACCTATTAGAATTATACCTGGCTTCTCAGTGGAAACCATGAAAGCCAGAGGTCCTGGATAGATGTGCTGCAGACACTAAGATACCACGGATGCAAGCCCAGAATACTGTACCCAGCAAAGCTTTCATTCACCATTGATGGAGAAAACAAGATATTCAATGACAAAACAGATTTAAACAATACATATACACAAACCCAGCCTTACAGAAAGTACTAGAAGGAAAGCCATGACCCAAAGAAGCTAACTATACCCACAATAACTCAGCCATCTGATAACCCCTCCCCACCAGCATAACCCTGATATAGGAGGGTCTTCTATCTATCTGTTGCTTTCATTAAAGAAAACTGCTTGGCCTGATAGGTCAGAACATAGGTAGGCGGGGAAGACAGAACAGAATGCTGTGAGGAAGAAGGCAGTGAGGCAGATGCCATGCTTCTCCTACCCAAGACAGATGGTGGTTAGAATCTTCCCAGTAAGCCACCACTTCGTGGTGCAACACAGATTATTAGAAATGGGTTAATCAAGATGTGAGAGTTAGCCAAAAGAGGCTAGAAATAATGGGCCAGACAGTGTTT